AGAGAGAGGAAGGAAGGAAAGAAGGAAGGGAGGGAGGGAAGGAGGGAGGGATTAACCTAAAGGGGATGTTTATGTATAATAGGATATTTGCTGCTTCACTATATAGAAGGAAAACTACTTCATCCTCATCACCAGATAGGGATTCTTAGCCCTCTCTGTGCATCAAGTCCTGGATAACTTTTTTAAAAATATATTTTTCAGACAAATTTTAGTTTTATAGCAAAATTAAGCAGGAAATAGAGTCCCTGTATACCCACTGCCTCCATACCCACACAGCCTCCCCAACTGTCAACAACCCATACCAGAGTGGTGCATTTGTTACAATCAGTGAAACTACATTGACATATCATTACATTGACCGTCATTTAATAGTTTACATTAGGGTTCACTCTTGGTGTTGTACATTCCATGGGTTTTGACAAATGTATAAGGACATGTATCCATCATTATAGCATCATACAGAATAGCCTCACTGCCATAAAAATCCTCTGTGTTCCACCTAGTCATGTCTTTTACCTCCAGCCCTGGCAACCACTGATCTTTTTACTGTCTCTACTTTTGCCTCTTCTAGAACGTCATATAGTTGGGATTATATAGTATGTGGCCTTTTCAGATTGGCTTCTTTCACTTAGTAACATGCATTTAAGTTTCCTCCATGTCTTTTAATGGTTTGAAAGCTCATTTTTTCAAAACACCAAATAACATTCAATTGTCTATATGTACCAGTTTATTTATCCATTCAGCTACTGAAGGATGTCTTAGTTGCTTCCAAGTTTTGGCAATTATGAATAAAGCTGCTATTAACATTATGTGTAGTTTTTTGTATGGATATAAGTTTTCAACCTGGAGACATTTTAAAACCACAGATCCAGGCCCGGTGTGGTGGCTTACGCCTGTAATCCCCGTACTTTGGGAGGCCAAGGTGGGTGTATCATTTGTCGTCAGGAGATCGAGAACAGCCTGGCCAACATGATGAATCCCCATCTCTACTGAAAATACAAAAATTAGCCGGGTGTGGTGACTCATGCCGTAATTCCAGCTACTCGGGAGGCTGAGGCAGGAGAATAGCTTGAATCCGGGAGGCAGGGGTTGCGGTGGGCCAAGAACACGCTACTGCACTCCAGCCTGGGCAACAGAGCAAGACTCCGTCTCAAAAAAAAAAATAAAATAAAATAAATAATAGATTCCTGGGCCCCATCTCTGAGATTCCCTTTCAATTATTTGGGGGTAGAATTCAGGCAGTATAATTTTAAGATCGCTCCAGGTTATTCTAATAAGCAGCTAGACAGGGACTCAATGAGATAGA